GGGTGTGGGTGTGAGTGTGAGTGTGGATGTGAGCGTGGGTGTGGGTGGGTGTGGGTGGGTGTGGGTGGGTGTGGATGTGGGTGTGGGGTGTGGGTGTGGCTATGGTCATTTACGCTTACCTACCCCCACAATCGCACCCAGAACCTACACACGCACCCACATTCACACCCCACACCCCACACCCACATCCCACACTCAACTCTGTCAAAACCATGACTAAACTAATAAATACAATTCAGTTGAGATTGACGCATATTATTTATTTTTGCTATTTTTATCGAATCATGTTCAGTTCATGTCTGCCAACTTCAGAAAGATCATAATGAAATACTTTGCCCATTTCTATAAGAGAGTACAAATATGGATTAAAAATCGATTGAGTTATCTGCTGATCAACATTTGAAAATCACTATATGTCATTCCTAAGCCTATTTTTCACCTTCCTTTTTAGAATAGAGACGAAGCTACAAGATTTCATTAAACTTACTGTCCTAGTGACCTTATTAGAATGATAACCCTTGTAAATATCTATTTTCTAGTCGGGTACATTGACAAACTCTATTTGCATTTTAGAATTCGTTTTTTAAAATATTCTGAACTGCTATATATTTATGTATAACGATTATTCCTTTATTTTGCGTTAAATACAAGCTTCGATTTAATTTAAAAAACATATTTCTGTCTAATATTATATTTAACACGAACTATATCTTTTTCTTTCATTGGTCAATAATGTTGTTTCTTACTCTTTACTTTTCTAAGTTGATTCAGATGGTTTCGTTATGTGATTAGTTTGATTAAATAGACATGATTAATTGGAAAATGCAACTGGCTTATTTTCAATTGATGTTGATCTACATTTTGTTGCTCTTTGATGACTAAAGTGAAATTAGGCTGCAGAGCCTTTTTGTTATATAAGAATAAACTTTATTTCGTCTTAGTGATTTAAAGAAAACTTGGAGATATTAGGGGAATCTTCAGGAAAAATATTTGACAGCTACAGAAAAAGAGATAGAAAAATTATAAGCTTACTACAAAACGTTTGTGTTAAGGCACCCTTTGTATTTTAAATAACTTGTGTAAGTCAACCGATTGAAAGAAAAAATATCAAAAAACTGAAACAGTGTGATAGATGTATAAGTATTGTATTGACAAAGATTAAGAATAACTCTTTAATTATAATGAAGGCCTTTGGTTCTACAAACTGTTGTTCCTTGAGCAGTCATATGAATGATGTATCTTACGTATCAATAGCATTGTTTTCAGTACAAAATTAGTAATGGTTTAGTTGAAAAGCAACAGAAATGTGAAATATTAACAACTACTATAGATGATAAATCAATCTTGCATTGATTATTGATGATAACAGGGTGCCCCATAAGTTGTGGCAGATTTTTTTCTATTAGATTTAGAAAAAATCTGCCACAACTTATGGGGCACCCTGTATCAATGTGTCAGAATCTACACAAAGAGAGTGAAAAGCTGTGACTGTTCACTGCCATATATAGTGTATATTTTCACGATGTTTTTTAAATTGGCTTTTTTGTGTGTAGTAAAAATACTTGAAGGAAATACCATACCACCAGTCTGCAGAATAAATCTACATCATTTTTTTTATGAAGAATGACCAATAGACTGATCAAACATTACGAACAAGGAAGTCTAGTGAATCATCTTATTACTAACTTAGTGCTCTATGTAAACTATTCTGTCTGATTGTCGAATTAATTTCGAACTACTCTTCTGTACCAGTTAATTCTGCAGACATAGAGTACTCATATATACTTGTTTATTAACAATTTTCATAGAGGAATTCTCCCCAAGTTATAAACAACCGCTGATCTTATGAAAATAGCAGCCGCTGACATTGCATACGAAATTTTATAAGCTCATACTCTCCTGTAATACTAAAAAAATACACACAATCCAAAATTTCATTTATTATCGACTGTCATATCATGAGAAACTGTAATTCATCTTCCATCATAGAAGAACAAATTGGTCTAGCTGATTAAAGTAGAGTGGATCTATTTAACTTTTGTATCGTAAAGATATGTATCGAACAACCTACACATTCATAATCTTCTTCATTAAAATGCTCTTAGCTTTCAATAAATATTACGAGCTGCCACCATCACTAGTTCTCCTCTGTAATCATGGAGAAAGGCTACTTATCGTAATACTTAGCCAGTTGTTTTTTCAGCTGGAAGAAATAGGGCGTAGGTGTGGACTCGGTCGTGAATGAAGAAAACGGAATTACTTACACCTACATTCGAATTCATTTTTATGGCTAAACTACACACGTCCGTTTGAAAACAGAAAATGATTCATTATTAATATATAGTATTTGTGTAGAAGGTACCCAAGGTGATATTGAACTCTCTCCATTAAAATCATGCCTCTTTGCTTTACACGCAATTTCGTTGTCTTCTCAGTAAAGGCCAAGTGTAAGTATTGTATTAAAACTCACTACTCTCTGTTATATTCAGCGCATCTTACTTTGATTAATAATTAATGGTTGCATCGTTTAAATATATGTATCCATGTCAAATTTCTGTGGGATGCAATTCTTCTTTTAACTCATACTCATACCCACATCTAAGTATACCAATCGGCTTTAAAAGACAACTTAGTGTTTGGAATTTCCATGGTACAGGTTTTTCCTGGTCTACATAACTCTCTGATTGCCACTACATGAGTTTGTGGATGTTATTTAAAAGAAGTATCACATCCACACTCTAGATATAAATGATCATAAGAGACTGAAGGAATCAGATGTCTATACTCAAATCTATCTATACACTGTATATGGAATGATTAGTGAAGACTCATTGACTTTAAAGAGAAACTGTACCTGTTGTCGTGAAATTGAAGTAAACTTGTGAAGTTTGTAATGAGCTCAGTCGATAAGTATATAATTGTCCAGCACTATCTTCATATACCCCATCACACACTCGACACATAATTTCATCAATTTTTAAATTTCGCTCCCCAATATGTTTAAGCAGATGATAGGTAAAGAGACTGTTACGTGTATTTGGAGACCTGTCGAATGCATTCTCGTTAGGACCATAAGCGAAGACAACTAGGGAGCCTGCTACTCCTTTTATTGTGGAAGCGATAGTGGAATCTGATGGCACTGGCAGGTCTTTTGTTCCTTCACTATGTACGCGACAACAGTCAAGCAGAAATACGATTGCAAATGGGTTTTTCTTCTTCATTGACTCAAGTATTGTTTGAGAGGAAACTGCCAAATGTTGATGTCTGTCAGGTCGTTGAATAAGAGCTTTGTTGTCGATAGGTATTAGATAATTGTTCTCATGCCATTCAGTTCCATGACCGGAGAAAAAGAAAACAATAAGATCATTTTCCATAATATTTGCCAAAAAATCGTTAATTTTATCTGTCATTCCCATATATTTCAAGTTAAAGTGGGATGTAGCTTCAAAGCCAAGCCGTTCCAACTGATTAGCTACGTCTTCAGCATCGTTTTTACAGCGTTGAAGTTTATTCACATCATAGTCGTTGTTACCAATAAGAAGAGCTCGTTTAGGAAATCGTAGTGAACTAGTTGCCATTAGTTTGTTGTTTGTTGAACAAACGTTAGAAGCAGAATACACTCCAAAAGAGACGAGAATGCAGTTCGATGTTAATCAGTTCAACTACAAAAATTATTTGAAACTGTTAAACATTAGTAGCGCTAACAATTCCCAAAATACTTCATTTTCTGCACTACATATTTCTTTTTTTCACATAACTAAAATAGTGTATGCTACTCTAGTTGAGGGTCTGGGTGTGGGTATGGGTGAGGGTGTGAGTGTGGGGTGTGGGTGTGGGTGTGAGTGTGGTTTTTAGCCAATAAAGATAATAACAACGACACCACACCTACACCGTATATCTCGGTCAAGGGATCTGAAGTAACCTTTACATCGGCGCGGCCACGTGTTACAGAATTTCATTTTTTCAAATTGCAACACCTGTAGCTTGTCAAAAATAGAAGCAAACTTTCTGAAATTTTTGTCAGAGATGGATATTAACGAGATCTATTATCAGAAAAAATTTCATCAGTTTCTATCTATTCACAGCTGAGTTATTCAACTAATATTGGCCGTTACGGAATTTCACAAAATGGAAATTTTTTTAGGATGACCTGAGAGTTAAGCATTTTAATATATAACGAGGGTGGGTGTGGGTGCGGGTGTGGATGTGGATGTGGATATCGGTGTGGTTGTTAGCCAAGAAATATAACAACAACGACACCATACCAAAATCCTATATCTCAGTGAAGAGATCAGAAGTAAGCTTTACATATACCACTCAATCGATAGGGTATCGCCGAAAACCACTACAATGCATGTTTACAGGATCGGTTCAAATGCTTGTCATTGGGCTGAAAAATCGTTTGACAAATATATTTTTGCTTTGATAGTATGCTGTGGGGACGTTTATGACATTCCTATACGATCACCGTATACGGCGGTATACTGCCGATTCTAGTTACCGTAATGCTTGTGGTGGAAAAGGTTCGAATTCGTTGCATCTCTATTTCTAGGTAGATCCGAAATTTCGTTGTCTTCCAGAGTAGGTTAGCGCATAAGGATGTTATAGCGTGGTAATGCAACGCATGAAAATATCAGCAAATCGTTGGAGTGTTAAGGATTACAATAGGGTCT